CCGAGCAGATCCAGGAAATGGTCAACATTGAAGGGCAGATTAATGGTTATCAAAGTACAAATATCCAAAATCAGTTCAGTAACGGTTTTCAAGGGGACAATATTTACTCAAATTGATGGGTTTGGATGATGGGGGAAACTCGTGTCACAGGCTCTTTAAGCAATTTTTAAGAAAAATTGGCAAACATTGAGTGCTTTGAGTTTCTCAAAATGGGCTGCTTCTCTCTGTTATCAATCACTTTAGGACTCTAACAAAATAATCAATGTGCAGATTTTACTTTGGGCACTAAATAATAAATCAAAAAGATAAACAAAATCTTCAATTATAATGAAATACATCAAATCAAGTTATTTACAGCCCTACTGCCCTACTACCAGTACACAGAAAAAACGATTTCTCTTTAACTTTCTGCACTTTTAACTCAGTTATGACTTGCATTAAATGTATATCAGCAGCTTATGACTGGATGTTTGAAGAGTATAAAGTATGGAAAGTAGGTTATTTTTCTGACACAACGTTCATACCTTTATGAAAGTGACTGCCAGAATAGAGAGAATCCCATTCTGCCAAGTCTTATCTCACCAGCTTCTGCTTTGTAGACATGCTGGGGGAACCTGTTTGGCCTCAGAACATCAACACCAGGAGGAACAGGCTGTGTTTTCATGTGTTAGAAAAATATGTGCACACAATATTTGCACAGATTGTGTGGACATATTGAATGTGTTTAACCTGAATATTAATTGGATAGACACTGGAGAATTTGTGTATATCAATAACTGAGTATTTTGTGTTTGAGTCTTCTGCAAAATTGCATCCTCTGCCTCCGATAACGAGTGACCACACCACATGCAGTTTATTCCTTATGTAAACACTCATGCCTAGTTTACCACGCCCAAAGGCTTTCTGGGTAATTATCATGGCATTTCCATTTGCTGCCCCTGGGCACGGCAATCTGGAGGGGCATTTGGACAGTTTAGATCAACAAAATGTTTGGAAAAGGTTTCAGTGCCTGAAAAACATATTTTTCAAATAATCTTATAACGTTTAAACATATGTTTTTGAATAATGTTTTTTAAAGATTACACATTACATTTCATTTATCTGAGGCTTTAATCCAAAGCAATTTACATGCTGGCTGTAAACAGGATACACTGCTATCCTCCATATCAGCCAAAATGCTTCTGCAGTCAAAGAGAAGTGACGCAGTTTCAAGTGAACAAGTTATGTCGCTAAAGCTTCGTTAAATCAGCAAAGACAGACACATTAAACATCCCTGTCTAGCCTGGGGCTTGTGTTGAAAGTATTTGCTGTGGTGGTCAATGTTTGATGGAGTTGGGCTTTGTGGAGACCAGAATCAGTGCACCGGAGCTCTGCGGCGGCCACTGTTATTAAACCGCCAAACATCAGAGGACAAACGGGGAGTCTTCACTGTCCTTGGACTCTGACACGAGCTTCAAGCGCTCTCTGTTCTCTCATGAAAAGTACTTGTGGCATCAAAAGGGCAGGGAACAAGTATAACAGTGTTCAGAAATATACTGCTAATTATAATACCAGTGCGAGCCAGGTCATGCATGTTGGTGTGAATCCATGTGTTAACGTGGAAAGTTAAAAAGGTACAGCTGCATCTACTGAGGCTCGGCTGTATTTCTCAGCTCTGCTGGATGTACAGAACTCACACGCTGCTTGTGTAAATCACTTCATTTCAAAAGTAAACAAAATGATCGCAGCTCAGTATGAATTTCCTAGATATATCACAGCATTTCGTCCTTCCCAACCTGTCAACCTGTGACAGAGATTACTTCATTGTCAAGTCATGCCTAATCCATTCACTGCTCGTCTTATCAGAAACCCCAGACTCAAATCAATCTGACCGTGTAATTTGCCATGGCTGAGAACTGTCAGGAAACTTACATTTTTTCCAAAATAAAAACACTCTCCCAGTCTTTTGAAAAAGTTTAAATATTTAAATATTTCTTAAACCTTAGTCTATTTACCAAAATGGAGGACCCACAGTGAGCGCAGAAAGTGCCCACAAGCACACCTAAAGAGGATTTCAGGGAAGACAAATGGACTTGAGTGGATCTGGAGGAGAGAGGCCAGCAACAGTTAAAGTTAGCAGCAGATGACTAACTCTGAATTCTAAGTAGAGGAAAGTTCTGCTTTTTTTCTTGCGGCGCTAAAAGACCAGTTGTGTTGTCTCAGAGGGCCAGATGGACTGGTGCTCTGTGACTCAAATCTGGGCACGCACTCACACACCTCCAGGACTCTCGAGCTAATCAGTATTCAAAGAAAAACACTCTTCTCTTCTCCTAAACTCGGTTTCTCCTTTTTCGACTCTGCCGATGGTTCCACAGGGAGGACGGGACTCGCTGCTGTTTATCCACTTATTCCTCTGGGGGAGAAAAAGGAGGCTACGCCAGCAGGAGACAGACAGGGGAGAGCGATGCTGAGCACAGAGATGCAGGCTTGGATCTTTACACAGTTAGCAAACATGGCGGCACGGAGACTAAAAAGCCCCCCGACATTATACAGCTTACAGTTTCTCTCTTATTTCCCAGCATAAGGTAACCTTGCTACGACTGCTCTCACAGTTTAAACCCCTTTAATCCTGTTAACCATGCATTATACAAAAAGCTTTTTCAGCTCATATTTAACACAGGAATTTGCATGAAATGAAACCAATTGCAGCACATGAAACAAGGGAGCCTGGGTTTACTTTCACTTCTGCAATGACAAGGCATGGTCTCAGCTTGAGATTAGGCAACAATTGAGACTTCAGAGTGGTGTGTGTGTAAAGTAAAAACACATAATATCCTGGGAGGTTTACAGTGTGTACTATGACTTCTACAGCACAGCAGGTGGAAACGGCACCATATGCAGCATGAAGAAGCCTCTTAAGAACACCTGTGCTGCTGCACTCAGCACTCAGCGCCCCGGATCTATTGTGCACCGATGAGGCCAAGTAGAAAGGGCGGACATATTGTCTTAGCACCTCACTTTGTTCCACAGCTCAAAAAAAGCAACTGCACTCTGAGAGCACTTCACTGTGCTGTTTGATGCTCCTGTAGTACAAAGGAAGAGCCAGGGAAAGAAAGTAAAGATTGATGAGCTGCATTTGATTGTACACCTGACTTTCTTTGGTATTACTGGCAACTCATAATGACATCCAGATGCGAGGGGGTTTCAGAGAAAGAGAGTCATATTTGGACTCTGAGAAAATCCATAATTCAAGGTCAAAAGTCCTCAATTTAGAAATCTGTGATAGGTGCAGATGAACGCTTTAGATTTAGCTTTAATCATCTCCAAAGCACATGCCTGAAAGATTACATCAGGCCTATATTTCCAACATATATCATGTGGGAGTTTTCCTGAGTAACAAAAATAGAACACCTTTCAAAGCAGCCAATACGACTCAGTAGGTGATTTTACGCTTTCCTTTTGTAAATCTGAGGTAGAAACGATTTTTTTTTAAAAACACGAACAAGGTACCAAATCCTGTATTTGGTCCACTAATAAACTGCTAAGCCAGATGCCCTTCAGGCGGTTTTGACAATAGAAAAGCAGAACAAACTCTGACGATCCTCATTAGATGCTAAACCCACAGGCAGCACAGAAATAATTTATTTGTGAGAGAAATGTTGTAAAGCAGAATTTATATTGCTGTGTTAGGATTGACACTGCTGGCATGAGAAAATGAACTTCCTGATTGTTCTGTGGTGAATGACTGGAGGACAGCTGGTGTAACTTTCCCCTTTAACTCTTGTCATTTCGAATTAAATTAGCTTTAGTCTACATCTAGTTGACATTTGTCTTAACATTTCTGCATTCATCATGTCCTTGTATTCTTTTCTACATAACAAGAGTTCTTTGAAAGAAAATAGCCATTTTACACTGTCAAACCAAGTTTGAAGGCAATGAATAAAAAGGAACAGACATGATAATAATGTTGTTAAAGGCATTTGGCAGAAATGTTTTTCCGGTGGGTGTGTGAGTGACAGTAAGTAGAGCATAACTTAATGTGGCGCTGATATGACAACATTAACTCTGCCACATGAAAACAATGATAACACAAAAACTGTCACAAGACCACATTTAGGTTTTGTTTGCCGGGGTAAAGACTGAGGGAATTCTTTTTCATTTGTTTTTTAAAATGGTAGCCTATCACTTTTTTCCAGAGGGATGACTTTATTCAATGTATTCACACACTCTCATGAATAGTGTATTTTCATTATTCCTGGCAGCCATGCACACTTACAGATAATGGAGAACTTTTCAACAAGTCCTCAAAATAAATTAAACAACAAAATGCATCCTCAGTCTATTCCCTCCAGAACAACTGTTAATAAGCAGTTCATCATCCGAGGAAACTACGAGAGTTTGAGTGAATATCAGCAACAAATGGCTGCCAAAAAAAGTCAGCTTTTTGATGTGACAACATAATGGTTGAGGTTTAGTTAGTTAAAGAACAAACAGGATAGGATAATAGTTTGGGTCAAAATGATTTCATTATCAAACCTTTGTAGTTCAACAACAGTGTGATCAAGATTTACTACTCATGGTGAAAGAAACAAAGTGCCCCGTCAATAGGAAAGAGGAAACAAACAGTGGTCTTCTGTGTGTGGTTCGATGTTTTGTTGAGCTTTCAACCCCAACTCCTCCTTCTGCAGACTTTATTTCATTATAACAATGTCACCCTACTTCCTCTTTTTCTCCAGATGAACAACACTCAGACACTTGACTTGTTTGGCCACTTTCTGAAACTACCCAGGCTCTCCTTTTACTTCATTAGACAAATCAAATCTTTCTTCTCCACTAGACTTGGTGAGGCATACGTAGAAAATATATCAAATTTGTCTGACATAAGATTGATCTGCAAGTCATTTTTAAGACTTAAGGCCAGAACCCGCCCTTGCTATTGCAGAATATCTCTGTAGGATAAAAACACTTTATAGCTTCCACCATCCTCAGATGCATGGCCTACTGTTGAACTCTTCACATACCTGCTTGTCCTTGTCCTTAGCCTTCCCACTGCCGGACACCCGCGATGAGGTGACATCACGGGGGATGACAGAGATTTGGTGCAGTGGCATGTTCATACCAGCAGAGCCAGCCAGGGTCGCTCACACACACACTTCCGGTGCTGCTGCTAGAGCAAAGGGCATGATGGTCTGAACTGTGACACCTCACCCACGCTGTCCTGCAGAGGACACAGAGAACAAACACAGGTTAGCTATGAGATGATAAAGAACACATTTAAAAGAAGACCACATACAATGGTTCACTGAGAACTACACCTGCACACACTAGTCTGTGTTGAATATGGCGTGTGTGTTACATGTTGTGATCATGGATGTTGCCGCTCATTTCTGTTATGTGATTGTGATGTCACAAACGACCTCCTCCTCTCCTCTGACTCCGGTAACCTGAACATCCTCATCCTCCTCGACCTCACCGCAGAATTCAACACCATCAACCACACCATCCTGCTGTCCCTCCTCGAATCATCACTCAACATCACCGACAGTGCACTCTCCTGGCTGAAATCCTACCTCACCGACAGACATCAGTTTATCAACATCAACAACTGCACCTCCACTGCTCCTCTGTCCCAAGGCGTCCCCCAGGGTTCGGTGCTTGGCCCCCTCCTCTTCATCCTCTACATGCTCCCCCTTGGCAAAATCATTCGTCGCCACAACCTTCCATTTCACTGCTACGCCGATGACATCCAACTTTATATCTCAACAAAAACCATCACCCCCACAACACACTCCACTCTCACCAACTGTCTCTCAGAAATAAAAGCATGGATGCAAACAAACTATCTCCAACTGAACAGTGCCAAATCAGATATCATCATCATCATCGGCCCCCCATCCCGTACCAAAGACATCCAGAATTTCAACTTCACCATTGACAGCCACACTCTATCCCCTCCCCCCTCACATCCGCAACCTCGGAGTCATCTTCAACAGTCAGCTCAGATTCAATCACCACATCAATCACATCACCAGGACCGCCTTTTTCCACCTAAAAAAACATTGCCCGTCTCCGCCCATCACTCTCCTCCTCTGCTGCTGAAACCCTGATTCATGCATTCATCACATCACGACTCGACTACTGCAATAGCATCCTCTACGGCATACCATCCAACCTCCTCAATAAACTCCAACATATCCAGAACTCTGCTGCCCGCCTCCTCACCCACACACGCTCCTGATACCACGCTGAGAAAAACAAAGGAAAGTGCTGATTTTAGGCTTTTACCTGGTATATAATTTAAAACGATGAATCATTAATACTCAGAACGATTCACAGTGAAATTGATGTAGCTGCCTGTGTCATTGTTTTTTGTAAATTGGGTTCCTGGGAGGCTTCATTTTTGGAAATTAACAAAGTGATTCAGTTTGTACTGAGAAAAAGGATACCATGCATTGTGGGTAAAGGCAGTGTAAAAGGTGCTAAATAAAAGACAAAAATTGATGCAGGGAATGTCTGCAAACAAAAGAAGGGTATTTTAACTACATCAGGCCGATGAACTTTTACTTGTGCTGACCATAGGTGCTGACCTGCAGTTCACTGTAAGAAACTTTGAGCTATTCTCAAACCACAAAAGGTACATTTGTCTCTTGTGACTTTCTACAGGAGTGCAGGAGTTTGTCTCAGAATAGCAGGAGTGTAATAAATCACCACAGAGGTGACTGTGTGAGCAGGAATTCACTTTTTCAACCAAAGACATGTAGGTTCAGGTCTAAGATTTCTACTAATGAGAGAGTGATTGGTTTGCTGTCGTTCTTGGATATATTTAGACAGATTGAGTCATTAAAGCAGTGGCAGTGTGGGGCTGTCCTTGGAAGTTACACAAGAGATTTTATATAAGGGTTGTTTTAACTTCAGTTAATGCAGCCATCTGTACTGCCACTGACAGCAATTAAGCTTTAGCTCCTTCGCACCAGTAGGCCGTGAGTGTGTGTGTGTGTGTGTGTGTGTGTGTGTGTGTGTGTGTGTGTGTGTGTGTGTGTGTGTGTGTGTGTGTGTGTGTGTGTGTGTGTGTGTGTGTGTGTGTGTGTGTGTGTGTGTGTGTGTGTGCAGCCCCCTTGCCAGGCAAACCTAAGCTTCACAGTATGAAAATAACAGGATTAAGAAACCAAAAAGCAAGCAGACAGATGGGAGGTCAGTGAAATGGCAGTAATCGGTAACCAGTGATGAAGGCAGGAGGGAGGGGGGGGCTTCGAAGGCTTTGGACTTAAATTGCCACACGGGTCGACTTAGAATCGCCAGCACAGCCAGAGCTGCCACCTCAGTTCATGGCTGCACTGTCTCTGATCATTATTTATTAATCAAGATGGAGAGGTGATTATGCTCATATGATCTCACAAACACACACAGCCGGTGGTCATTTGAGCTTCTTGTGCAACAGCTGCCAGTCCATGCTCAGTGCCAAAGAGGGAGGGGGGTTTCACGATAATTTTGCAAGATGTTTTACCATGATCCCGACAAAACACAGCAAGCGTAACCTCCTTGGCGTAAGTAATAAAAAGTCCCTGACACAGGTGTAGTGATGGACTCAGACCTGAATTTCAACAGTCACATTACAACAGTTATTAAGTCTGCATACTATGACCTGAAGAACATATCTAGGATTAAAAAAACTAATGTCAGGATTTAGAAAAGCTTGTCCATGCTTTTATCTTCAGTAGACTTGACTATAGTGTATTCACAGGGCTGACAAAAAAATCCATCAGAAAGCTGCAGCTGATTCAGAACGCTGCTGATCGTGTCCTCACTAACATTAAAAGAGTGGATCACATCAGTCCGGTTCTGAAATCTTTACACTGGCTTCCAGTCGGCCAAAGAATTGATTTTAAAGTATTATTGCTAGTTTTTAAATCACAAAATGGTTTAGGACCAAAGTATATTAACGATCTCCTGCATAATTATGAACCATCAAGGTATCTCAGGTCTTCTGGGACGGGTCTGCTCTCGGTTCCGAGAGTAAGAACAAAACATGGAAAAGCAGCGTTTAGCTGTTATGCCCCGACAATCTGGAACAAACTGCCCGAAACATGCACGTCCGCAGAAACTCTTACTATTTTCAAATCGAGACTGAAAATATATATTTTTGCCTCTGCTTTTCATTGAGCTGTTCATATTCGCACTGCAGTATGCCATTTAAACATGTATTGTATACATGTTGTGTTTATTTTATTATCTTTGCTTTTTAAATGCCTGTTGTAAAATGCCATTATATAAATGTGTTTCTGCTGTATTTATTCTTAAATGTCTTCTATTTTATTTTTGTAAAGCACTTTGAATTGTCGCGTGCTCAAAAGGTGCTATATAAATAAACTTGCCTTGCCTTGCCTTGACTGATACCATGTATCCTTACAGACTAAGATACTGAATATGACTACAAAACTACCGTAACAATTTCTGGAGGTTTGTGTTTTATTTGTAACACATCTCTACATCAACCTCGATGCTGTAGCTCATTTAATTGAGTTTATAAGGTAGGAAGGTCAACCCAATATCACAATGTGGTGGAAAATAAATCATTCAAAATAGGAGACTTCGCTCTAGACTAACATTTCTGTCTTAAAATGCTGATTTCCGTGCCAGTTAAAACTCACAGCATGGTTGTTTGTTGAGAAACACAATAGGCAAATCTCACAGATGAAATAAATAATATATATGTAACACTGCAGTGCACAATTTATCAAGCTAATGCAGGAGGCAAAGATGGTTGGGTACAGAGCTCTTAAGGCGCAGGTGAAAAGTTGTTGTTTTATTAATCATGTTATGATGCTACGATGGCTGTAAGGATAAAAGGATAAAACCTTGGATAAACAGAGCCTTGTGTTTTTGCTTATATTTGCATTGCTTGTTCTCTTGTATGGTTATTGATGTGTACGTTCTTTGAGATAATGAAAAGGTCAAATCCTTGAATGTGTTCATTTGGTTTTACAATTCATCACAGTAGACAATGCTTCAAATAAGGTAGTTGCTGCAAAGAGGCTACATATTGAAAACATGTCCACTTCACACAAATCTTCAACCCTACAGCGGGGAAGATCCATACAATCAATAGTCTCCAGGTGGGAACACAAGGGCAGTGTCTCTAATTCAGTTTACAACCAAATGTGAAATATAGCCACAATCTCCCCTGCTCCTGAGTTACGGCGTTGAAAAGTGTTTTAGCAAACCATTATGATTTCATAGTGACCTTTTGGATTCAAAATATCATCCTTCAATAATTTCATCCTTTTATACATTTGTCAAACTTTTTCATACAGTAAGTAGTGAATATGATGAAAGCATTTTTTAATACAGACTCAAAACCTGTTTAGAAAGTGACCTTGACCTTTGAACAAGGGGACGCTTATTTAAAATGTGAAGAAATGTCCTCAAGACCGACCGTGATACTGTGTTCCTGGGAGCTCAACGGACAGAAGGACAACCTGACAGCCTGTTTACTTCCAGTCTACACTCATTCAACTCTCTTTTGTCCGCACACTTTGAATTCTCCTTCCTGACGCCATTGGTTTTGACTATAGACTATTGACTATGTAAAAAGGAAAATGGATTTTGTGCCTTGAATGCAAAGCAAGTGTAGTCATTCTATCCTTTTGGTAATTCTATCCTCATCATCAGCCATTATGTGACCTCACTGGGACTTGGTGAGCTATGGCTACAGAATGGTCACTTTGATGGGCAGAGGGCACACAGAGTCACATTGTGTGTGAGTGTGTATGGGAGACTAATGAGTGACAGTACATTTGAGAGTTTAGAGGACAGAGTTACCCTGCCTGAGGGCATCATCACATCATTACAGCTCCTGCTGGTTTTCACTCACAAATGTTTGCATTAAATCACAAAGTGGGCATTATTGTGTCCTTTCCCGAGCTATGATGTGAAGTAAACAAGAGGAATAAACTAAATAAATCAGGCAGTATATTTTCAGTGCTGCAGCGCAAATGTTTTTTTGTCGATGAAACAATGAAACAACATCCATCACCGTGGCCACAACACAGACTGCACCACAGAGGTCATCAATGTACATCCGAAGAATAACAACTGCAGTAAAACCTCCTCTCCACTTTTAATTGGCATTGTGTTTCAAGCTTGAGGCCTTTGATGAACTCAGGGGTTGCACTAATAGGGCGAGAGATGAGCTGGATAGACCATCAGGATTACACTTCC